TGCTTTTTCTAATCATGTAGTTATTAAAAAAAATTTTTAATGATTAAAAAAATAATAATTAGTAGATGTGAAAAACATTACCATTGAAATCTACCTGATGACTTTATATCCATGCTCAGATGCCAAGGAGCTCAGAAAGTAACCGACTGTCACCAGTAATAATCAGATATATAGAGATTAGAAATACCATGTGCAAACATCTTAATGTCATTTGCACTGAAAATGAATTTTTCTGTATGAAACTGTATTTTAATGATGAAATGGAGATCTTTTTTTTAAAGGTTAAACCCTCATTTAATTTTATATCTTATAGGGTTTATACTGAGTACAATACTGTATAACTGTAATAATTCAACTGTAAACTTAAAAATTTATAGCCAATTTTGAAAAAGATGCATCTTAGCTCAGGAAATTGTTATTGCATATGTCACTGCTGTTGTAATGACATGCTTCTTCTAAGTATGTGGTTATTAAATAATTTACTGGGAAAAGAAAAAAAAACATTAAAGTGCATCAGTGTGGTAAACATAAACAATGTTTCATAAACTTAATTCCATTCATACCAGGTTATTGTTAGCATTTGTTATGTGCAGTGGCTCACAGTTATTAGTTACTATTTCCAATATTAGCTATTATTTCCTAAGATACAGGAAAGATACAGGAAAATGTCTGAGGGTTTGTCCATAACCAACACAGAACAGAATGAGTAAGGGAGCAGCTACAAGACCCACTGTGAGCCCTTGAAGCTGAGTAACACCTCAGCCTATCTATAATCATCTATTTTTTTCTAATTTCCATTAATAAACCTAAGAGAATTTTAAAAAAAGAAAATGCCAGGTTTCTCACAAAATAAGTGTTAAATTTAATTCTAGTAGATGAGCTAGGAACAAGAACCATGAAGTAAATATATCCAAAAGTGAGACAAAGTTTCTCCTGGGTGGACATTATAAATCACTACATAAGCAAAGAAAGGAATCTTAGTGTCATAACAGTATATTCTGGATATATAACTTCGGCAAACCTTTGGGAGATTCACCATTAACTCACAGGTTGTGCTTCAAAGCATCCAAAGAAATCTCTGCAGGCAGAGTACACCCTTGTGAAGCTCTGAAGCAATGTTCTGCTTTGCCCAGATCTTACCCAGGCTATCAGAAATAAGGTTAGCTGGGGAAGAATGGTGAGAATGCTTCCTTCGGTAGCCACTGCAGTGGTAGCGGCTATAGTAGTGATGACAGGAACATGAAAGATTAAGCAATTACAGATGCTAACAAGCACTTTTTATGTTAGAATTATGGAGGCTGAGATAAATGGAGGTGCCCAAAGCTGCATACCAAATAAGCAACAGCAGATGCAAGCCGAGGCTGCTGGGCTCTAAAGGCCTTATTAATCCCTGCAAGCATATTTCCTTGACCGCCTTCCAACAGAGAAGCTGAAAGAAGAATGAAGCGACCAGTCTCTGTTCAGTCTTCATAACCCTCAGTAATCCTCTTAGCTACACTCTCATTCTCTAGGTTGGCTAAGTTCTTTTCAGCTTAGATTAAAAAATAGAAAGTGCTTCTCCCTTCAACCCTCCATGGGAACAGCATTCTATATCTAATGGGAGAAAGTCAACAAAAGCTAAGGAAAAATATTAATAATGGACTTCACTGCTTTTAAGAAGAAAAGTCTACAGAAAAGAAAGATAAAATCAATAACTAAACTTAGCTTTATGGGCAGCAGATAATAACAACTCCTTCTTCTGGGCTACTGCCAACCAAAAGTATATTCAAATACCTACATGACCACAAAATCATACAACCTTAACAAACATTGTTTATGGCTACTGCATTTTCACACTCTAAGTGACATTAAATGGAGGTAAAGAGCATTAGTACTACTATTAATTGTGTAAAAGTATATTTTTTATGTTTTAATATGTGGGAACAACTACAACGAATGGAGTTTGACAATAAAAAGTTTGAAGTTCAAAAACTACAAGCACATCTAAGCAGTATTCATAATCTTGTAAATGCAGGATTTGTTTAAAGCAATGTAAAACATTAACTGCGTATTATAAACACAAAGATAACTAAGTAGGCTGGTGGGAGGCACAAGGCCACATGCAAATGATATGAACAACAGAACTGTAGAGAATTTAAAGATTGTTCTTTAGCACTTCACTGTAACTATGTACTGTTTCTTAAAAATCTGTACTTTATTAAAACATACAATTTTTTAAATAAAGTATATTTTTAACCTGGATCCAGGACTGAACTTGGGTAGTGTCTGAATTGCTCAGCAAGCACTTTTACCCCAAGCCATCTCACTGCCCTAATCTCACTTTTTTTAAAAAAAATTATACGATTTTTATAATACTAGATTGACTTGAATGTTTCAGTTTATCCAACTCTTTTCACTTTTGGTGTACTCAAACTTATACCAGAAATGATAAAAACTAACATGTTCACATTTATTGACAAATAATAGAAGCAAGTGCTACAGCATAAGCAGTCACTAAGTAAACTCCACCTGAGCCTATGACTACCAACAGCATTTCTCTTGTCTGTCAGTGGATTACAAAAACACAAATCCACATACATATATGGGGAGCACATGTAAACACAAGAAAATTATATTACTATTTATGATCATGTATTACTGGGTAAACTGCCCATTCTTTCATATGGTATTGGATAATGAGAATATTCTGAGAACATTCTAAGACATTTTACAATACTCCAAAAAATTCTAAGTTCGATTCAAGTAAAACATTATACTCAGCAACAAAATAGTTACAATGACTTAATAGGTTTTCAATAAAGGGTTACAACTCAATTAGGTAGAGAACGTAAAAACTAATTTCCACAATCTAGTCTTTAAACATTCCAATTAATAAGGATTTTTAACGCCTCTATTATTACCCTAAACTTTTGAGAATGATACTAGATAAGAGAGAGGGTTAAGAGTGTAGTATTTATTCAAATATACAGCAAATGTATGTTTGTTCTTTTAAAAAAAATTACATTCTGCAAAACAATGCTGCCAGGTGCTCTACCAATGAAGATAAAAGCCAAGGTCTGGGGTTATTAAGCAGGTATCCACTCATATACAGAGCTACAGAGAGGTCACCCATGTATAAACCCACATGGTTAATAGGGTCAAGATGAAGTGTTGATGCTGATACTGCAGCAGCCAAGATTCAGGTATTTCCTTCCCCACTCCATTATTCTGGTTCCCCTTACTTAAGAAAAAAATTCAGTATGATACAATGTACTTTTGTGCTAAAGTCACATAATTATCCAATTTCCAACACGTGGAAATCTACGTTAAGAAGTACAAACTCACACTAGATTGTTTATGCCCCTTTTTCTCTTGGATATTCTTGACCAAGTTTTTTGAGTATACAGCTCTTTCTCTTTGGTTTACATACGGCACATAACCTATGAAAGCTGGCCACTTGCATAATGAATAACAAGTGCTATTTGCAATTTACCACTTATACTAGTGTACTGAATTTGGGAGATTTGGTGAGAGTAGTGCTGTAGACTGAACTCAGGGCCTCTGTCTAGTAGGCAAGTGCTTTAACCACTAAACTATACACCCTTGGTTTTCTTGAGACAGAGTTTTCTTGTATAACCCAGACTGGGTTCAAACTCACAATTCTCCTGCACTTGCCTCTCTATGTTTGGAATTGTGTTTGCTACAATACCTAACCCATATGGGGAATTTTTTTTTTTGAAGAGGATATCAATTGAAGGTCTGTTTATTTCATCAGCCTATTTGTGTAGAAAGTACAGCCCTGGTCTGCAACATCTGAAGACCTGTGGTTTCTTCCCTTTCTTTTTTTTTTTTGAGACAGCGTCTCGCCTTTAATGCCACATGACCTAGAATTCACTATGTAGACCAGGCTGGCCTTGAACTCAGAGATCCGCCTGCTTCTGCCTCCCAAGTGCTGGGATTAAAGACGTGTGCCACCACACTTGGCACATGGGAAGATTTTTAAAAGTTTAAAGTACTATGTCAGTGGACTTAGCTTTTGTAGCTCCCTGAGAATCAGTGTTTATGTTATCCACATCCTGGTCTTATGAATAAATTCACACCTATTTTTAAGTGTACTTTTTTTTTTACATCTAAATATTTTATTTGTGTGAAGTTTTAGCAGAAAGACTCAAGTAAAAATCCACTCCTCTTTGTTTACAAATAGATAAGAAATTTCTCTATTTCCATCACTAAGTTTAGTTTTATCTTCATCGTACAAACATCAAATAAATTTAAATGGACGCTTTGCTCTGTGCTGAGCTTGAGTCTTCAACAGGGGCCTTAAGATATACAAACAAAGCAGAAACACTGAAGACACTCTACTTCTGAGAGGTAATGTTTCAACAATGCAGGTATTTAATATATTTTAATATCTAATGTCTATCCCATTTTCCCTCAAAGTATTCTTTTTAAAATTTTATAATGTGCATGTATAAAATGTTAAATTATAGTATCTCTTTAAATGGAAGCAAATGTTTTAAAGAAGGTGGGACAGAAAGCTGTTTCTTTATTAACCATGTGGGTATTTGGTTTCAATGGTGGTGTATGCCTTTAATCCCAGCACTCGGGAGGCAGAGGCAGGCGGATCTCTGTGAGTTCAAGGCCAGCCTTGTCTACATAGTGAGTTCCAGGACAGCTGGGGCTACAGGGAGACTCTGTCTCAAAAAGACTGGGGAAAAAAAAAAAGGAAAAACTGAACAATTAAATGTTAGTGTCTCCAGATAATATGCCTTAGCATATTAGCTGCTGCTATTTCTAATAACTGCTATCTAGGAGGTTAAAAATATGCTAGATTCTTCAGTAATTAGAGTGCTTTCACCTCTGGAGAGGTAGTATAAACCTATTTTTTAATGTTTTCTACCTGTAGTTCAGTAAAAGTATAGTGTATGAAATTCAAAAACTAGACAAGTAAAAGAATATTAATAGTAGGTCCTAAAGCACAGTATCTTAGGTTTTTTTAATACATCTTTCCAAATACTTACTGATTAAGCAATGTATATTATGGGAGTACCGAGAATTATCTGGGATGGTAAAGCTGCTATCACAGATGGCAACCTGACTCTCACCAAAAGGAAGAGTGAAGAAACAAAGTTTGTACAGTAAACATCCCAGGGCCTGTAAAACAAAAAAACATGAATACCATCAGAACTTAGCAATTAACCACAGAACATAAAAACAGCCAAGACCAGGGCTGAGAATGTAGCTCAGTGGTAGAGTTATTAGGCCAGCAAGATGGCTCGTGGGTAAGGGAACATGCTGCCAAGTCTAATGACCTGAGTCTGATCCCTGGGATTCACAGGATGAAAGGAGAGAACCTACTCCTGCAAGTTTTCATCTGATTACCATAAGCACACTGTGGCATGTGCTTGTGCACATATACATATACACACATGCACAAAACACATAAATTCTCTGGAGCTGGAAAGATAGCTCAGCACTTAAGGGTACGTGCTACTCTTCATAAGACCCAAGTTCAGTTCTCAGCACCAACACTGGGCAGCTCAAAACCACTTATGACTCCAGCTGCAGGCTTCTGGCCTCCATAGGCTTCTGCACACCTGCACAGATGGCACGTGCACACATGGACGTGTGCACACACACACACACAAAAAAAAAATAAAATTTTTAAAAGAAATTGTTTCTCTATATAATCCTATAATTTTTACTCTATATTGTAGTGATTATATTTGTAACACCAAAAACTTATATTTTTGTATCAAAAATTATATTTTTATTCATGACTTCATAAACATCACAGCATCAATAACTTTCCTGATTGACAATGATGGCAAAACACTCCCAAAACACAAAAAAAGCAGCACAGGAAATTTCTAGCTACGCTGTCCCAGTTCAAACCTAAGAAACAACTTTTTAAAAATAGAAGTTTTTTGGCTCACAAAATCATCACTTTGTCAAAAGAAGTAGCGTTTGCAAGCCATAAGAGTGTAACGGGCATTTCTAATTCTAAGCAAATTATATAAAATTATCTAATAGTATACAATTGTATCAGCAATATAGAATGTGGCTATTGTGGCAAGTTAGCTTTCTGTTGTTGGATTTTCCTCACCCATTTACTTAATCACACATGACTAGCAAGTACTCTAATTTTTATAACCACTATGAAGACCATAATATACAGAAACTTTTGTGAGCTCAATAATATTAATTTTATAAAACATTATTTCAATTTTATAACAATTTTGTAGAGAAAAATTTTTAAAGCTCTAGGAATTTCAATACATTAACTTGAAAACATTAGTAGGTTGTTGCATGAGTACTAAAACTGTAAAGACACTAAACAGAAATACCCAATTTGATATGGTTAAAAAAGATTTATGATGGCTTTTTTTTCTTTAAGGAAGATAACACAGCAAACTAAATGTGAGAATACCATAGCAGTACTATAAAAACTACAGCTAAAGGTGTAATATTTGCACTAAACTACACCGTTCCACTGTCCAGATGATAATCAAGGCAAACACAGCCTGCATTTTCAGCCAACTTTATGTTGTTAAATTGTTACTAAGTTCTCTTCTATGTTGTGAAGATGCCGTATAATATACAATGATGCCAGCTACTTAAAAAATATGTGCCTGGGGGCTGAGGATGCAATTCGGTAATAGAGTGCTTGCCTAGTACATGCCCCTCCCCAAATCCTTGCCCCCCCCAAAAAAAAAGTGAAACTAAATACTTCACACTTCATGAACACAGTGAGCTGTGCTGTTCCTCCCCAAGCACCTCCAGCTTTGTTCATCTGATACGATGAGAATTATGTAAGAAACAAGAGGGAACAAGTGAGCTGGTTTTTAAAGGCTATCGTCATGCTCAATTTTCTTCACTAAAAGGTAACGTAGGATTTCTAATCAGCATCCTAGATCTCAGGATAAAAATAGCCTACAGTGGAGACTTTCAAGGGAAAAACTTTTGGCCAAAGTGTGAAATGTTATAAAAAGTTATATGAATATTTTAACCTGAACATTAGAATTCTCTTAATTAGTACATTCTTTGAAGCAAAAAAAAAAAAAAGTGTATGTGTGTATGGGTGTGTGTGTTGTGTGTGTTAGTATAATTCTTGACCAAATTGAACTGAACTCACACCTAAAACATAGCATATTCTGGATCCACCTGAGCTAAGTACAGCAAGCACAGAATGGTCATTGTGGGACTGGAAACTGTTCCTCTTTCAAGCATGTCAACACACATACTATTTTGTGGTTCTTTTTATTTTTATAATCTGAGAATCTATTTGCACATATACTAATCTTATGAAAAAAAACAATAGAAGAGGAAGGATCACAGCCTTTGGGTTAAGATACTGATAATAATTGTGTGCTTTAAGAACCATTTATTTCATCAACTCTCGTTGGCTTCAAAACAGTAGTGAAAATACAGTATGTTGTTGAAATCTGATTAAAATTCAACTATCATAAGAATCATTGTTTAACAAAAATGTGTGTTACAATAAACAGATGAAAAGATTGGAAATTTTTTTATCTTTTTTATTACCTTGCAAGAGTATTTATTTCCCAAGATTTTCTTTGGCCTTCTGATCCCAATAGAGAGAAGGCCAGTGGAGAATAACCTAAGAGATAATCAGCTGCCTTCACACATTACACTTGACTGCTTTCTGAACATTATGTTTGAAATAATATAATGGTGCCAGCAAGATGTCTTGGCATGTAAAAGCACTAGAGGCAAAGCCTGCTGACCTGAGTTGGAGCCCTAGAATCCACTTGGTGAAAGGAGAGAATCAATTTCCCTAAGTTGTCCTCTGACCTCCACATGTACACTGTGACATTCATGCCCAAAATAAGAAGGAAAATGTAAAACATAAAAAACTAAGTGAAAATTCTAAAAAGTCCAAACAAACTATCTGGCTTCTTTTGTAAGCCCTAGAACTATTTGAAACAATGTTATTCCTCTGGTATGTTCACTAGCAAATAAGTTAAATTGTTATTATTTAAATGGATACACTCGAATATCAAATATAATAAAAAACATATTTTACTTATAAAATAAGTTTGAAAGAGATACTGAGATTCTAACATAAAGTTCAACTACAAATTATCATAATCTATTGGTGCAATTTAATCCAGTGCAATAAATACACACTAAATGACGAGGTAAAGCCATGTTTAGAATTAGAACAAGTTAACTTGTATCAGCTTCCACTAAAAAGATCATAAAACATTCCAGAAAGCTATGCTGTACTTGCTTTACATTTATATCCAGATGTTCTGTACTGTCATCAACCAATATTCTCATTTGAAACTGAAAAATGTAGCATCTATACTCTAAATCTCAAAATCTACAGAGGTATACAGTTACATTACACACATGTTCTTTCCTTTCATGGACACAGGAGCTTTCTATCTCATGACTTAGAAGACAAAACATTTTAGGATTTTTCTTCTGAATTCAAAGCCCTTTTCTACTTAAACAGAGAATGCCTTTGGGGAGCATTTGAATTCAGATTTTATTTACATAGACCACACTTCAGTTCTTTTTAGGCCTTACCCAGATATCAGCCTTGGTGGTGATGGGCTTCCCTCCATAAAGGTTGATCATTTCAGGAGCTCTGTATGACAGAGTCGTATATCTGGCAGCATATGAGTGAAATAAAGGGCACATATTAAAGAACAAAAAGATAATGTGTTTCTCTAAAATATGCAACAAAAAGCTTATAGGTTTAAAAACATTATATAATAATGATGCTATTTTTAAAAGACCATTAAAAGTCTATCAAGGATTAAAAATATTCAAAGTATCTATACTTTTACTCAGCATCTCTAATAATACAAAATGTTATATTTTCTTTATTATTAAAAACTTAATGATAACATATTGCAAATAATTTCTAATGAATTTATATAAAATAATTCAGTTTAACTATCACAGTCTCCTCATAAAAATATTTTAGTCTCTTAAAAGTAAAACTCTCAAAATTTAATTTATATGTTTACTAAGGAGTTTGTTTAACGGATATTAGCATTCCCTGTTGCACACAGTAGTAATCTCCTTTGAGTTTTTATAACTATCTTTAAAGTTACATAGTTACTGTATTTGTGGAGGGGAGTATTTTTTGTTGGTTTTTTTTTTAGGGGGGGGGCTTGTTTTGCTTTGTTTTGAGACAGGATCTCCTAATAGCCCCAGCTGGCCTGAAACTATGTTGACCAGGCTGGTCTCAATCTCACAGAGATCTACCTGCCTCTGCTTCCCAAATGTTGGTATTAAAGGTATACGCCTGCCACCACACCTTGCTGCTGGCCAGTTGCTATAATTTTAATTATACATTTTATATATAACACTAACTACCAATATAAGCTATTTGAAATGAAAAGACACTGTAAATAAATGTTTACTAAGATTAAAAACCCCAACTCTATTAGAAACAGTAAATTTTAATAATGTAGTACTCAAATCTCATGGCAGAAATGATAAGAAAATGGATGGATTTCCCCTATCATGACAAGAGTCATTTTGAATCTGTCTATGCATTTATTTTACAAGAAGAATCTCAAATCACAACCTTCTACAATCTTGCTTTTTCCAAATTACCCTGATTGGTAAGAGAGACTAAATTCCTACTGCAGATGAATGACCAAAAATCCAGAATATAAACTGCATAATAGCAGAATTTTATCCACTCTATCCCAGCACAAAAACAGGGTTGGTCCTGAATAAATACTTGTTAATTAAACAGACTATCAACTCCATAAGGGGGCAACAAAGCATATGAATTCCTAATGAGATTGCATTCATCACAAAATTCCAGTCGTCAGAAAAACCTTAACTGTATTTTCATGATGCAGCAGCAGGTTAGAAATACTTAGGCGAAGCTTTAACAACCACTAGAAATCGTGATCCACAGGGATTTGACTATGTGGATATACATATAGCCTAAGAAATCTACTCAAAATCTTACTATTCTTACATTCTGTACAACATTTACGTTTACTAAGGGTTTGTTTTCATAGAATCTAACAATCATTCTAGGCTGTTTTCTGTGTAGAAATACATTGTCTAGAAACTCATATTTTAAGAGCTCTTTGAACTCTTAAAAGCAAAACTACAGCACAAACAACAGCCCCTCATCTTAGCAGCTGGGACTCTGAGGAAGTAATGAAAGTAACTACTTGGAAATTCCTGTTAATAGAGCTCTGCCTTCTGTGTCAGTTTATTAAAGTAATCTAACACAAATGGTTTCATTTTCTAAAACTAGAAAACACAAAAGAAAACGTTCTAACAAATAGATTGGGAGGCAAAGAAAATGCAAGATTAGGAAGCATGAAGTATGAATGACATATTCTACCAAGAAGTTTCACAGCAGACCACCACAGTGCCTCAGTCTTAACACGTTCATTATTCGTATCATTTTCAATGCATTCAAAAGCCAGTCTTAACATAAAGAACTTACATGTTTCAAGAAACCTAATTTTTCATAACCACCAAATGCTCAGTATTAGTAAAAACAAAGACATTAAGCTGAACTAAAAAAAGTAAAATCACTTAAAATTCTCTTATCTGAGTCCACTAATCACTATAGCTTATTTTACAAGTTTCTTTATAAGTCTACAAATAGAATAATATAAAACTAGTATTAACATAACTACCTGGCCACAGACTCAAGTTAACCAAAACTCCTATGAGACAAATTGCATAAAGACAAGCACTTACTTTTTAATTTCTTCTTCTACTACATTAACTCCATCTTTTTGAGGATTAAGAAATTTATTAGTGGCACTGCCAAAGTCACAGAGTACATAATTTCCGGTGTCATTTAACAAAATATTTTCTACCTTAAGGAAAGAAAATCAAAGATTAGTATTTTCAAAGTGAAAAATTATCTTTTTAAACCTGTTTGGATCAGATGCTTTGTACACACACACACACACACACACACAAACTGTCTTGAGA